ATATATATATGAATAAAGATATTCCCCAATAAAGAAGAGCTTATCCTAGTAAAACTATGGTTATGAAAATGCTAAGAACATAATAGGTGCTATGTTATTTAGCCAATTTTACATTCAAAGCATGAGTTTCAAAAAATAACTAAATGCAATTTAAAAAACACCAAATAGACAATATTTATTTATTTATGTTCCAGTAGGTGCTAATATATCTCTCTTTCTTTTTCTTCCCAAGTAGGTATTTGTGGGCAGGAGTAATGGCCTCTCTTCTCAACTCTCAGCTTTTTTACCAGGAATAAAAAAACATAAATTGTAATAAAAAAACAGCAGTAAACGAGTCAAATATGAGAAGGTCATGGTTTTTTCCAGACCATTGCTCATCCTAAATGAGGATGGATGTGAGCTGAGGAGGATCCAGTGGTCTGCACTCAGACCAAAAGAAGGAGAAGGGTAAAAGAGGACTGGCTGGCTCCAGAATTTGCAGAATATAGTTGCAACCATTGTGTTTCCTGTGAAAGATGATCCCAAACTTGTTAACTTTGATGCCAGTGACCAATTCTGTTTGATAATCTTCTTTTATTTGTCAATTCCACTCTATATTTATTTTTGTTTTCTGTCAGAGCAGACCCAACGCGGAGATTTATTATACTTTTATGAGTTTTATAGACATGCATTCTAAGACATATTTATGACTTTTTTCTTTAAGCTGTAACATTCTATGCTAATGGCACTTTTTTGTCTAAATTAACTGCCCCGACCTTTAAAATYATGAGTCTAAAACAAAGTTTGAAAATTAAAACAATGGGTGGGAGGGGAGGAGATTTGCTCTCTTTGTTAGAACAGCAGAGAGTATTTCATTAACATGATAGCAGRCCTTACTATGGCTACCACACATGATTTATTAGACTTGACCAAGTGCATTAAGTTTTAGGTCTCTATCTACATTAAACCAGAGGACACCTGATATATTGAATGATTTATAATGAGCGGCTCAGAAATGCCTCAAGGTCAGACAGATAAGTACAGGATGTGGAAGATGACATCAGCGTAAAGGAGACATTTTTGTGTCCTTTCTTTATAGGTTGACACGGTTTCTTCAGGGCTTTATGAAATGTTTCTGTTATTGTTTAAAGTGTAATGGGGTTACAGTCCCACTGCCTGTCTCTCCACTCTTGTTCTTTGTAGCCAGGAAACTTAACTCCACTTTTTCGGTCCTGTAGGGTATATGTGACTTTTTTTTTGTTAAATATAAATTACTAAAAATAAGTAAATAAATTTAAAAAATAAAAAACCTCTTGCCCCCAAGTCTGTCTTGGCTGATAGAACCTCATTTCAACAAATCAGCATTGTTTATAAATGACCAAAGAGTAATTGTCAGTTTCATCTAAGCTAACCTATCTGCCTTCATCAGAATCTCCTCAGATGTGGCTGAAATATCACACATGATGCAGGAATTGTGGGTTTCAGTGTGGCACAGGCTATGTGTGAAATAATCTAATTTTAAAAATGTCACAGCTCAGGGAGACACCCACAGCTGTGCAGTTCCATTAGTCTGTTGTCACTGGAGTGTGGGAGAGTAAATATGAAACACCAAGTTGATTAGGGTTGATGTTTTAAGAAGATCGGAGCAAGTTTTACTGATGCTTTTTTAAATATGTCTCAACAGTAAAACCAGTCAAAACCTTGGAAATCTGTGAGATGCTGATTTTTGTTTCAGTGCGCATACAACCCTCTAACCAATAACATSTCAACAAATAACAAAGAGCACTCTTTGTATTGATATGATAGAAAATGGGAGCACTTCAACTTTAACTTAAATTAGTTTTGACTATTAAATGAAATCAAAAGCATAATTTTCGAAAATGAGAATATGAGAATGCCTCAGTTCATACAAGTCTGCTTTAAACTTCTTCCATATGAATTGTATTATGTAGATTATAAAAGCGGCATTTATGTTTTTGTAAATAGTTGTAGCTGAGTGCTGATGTGTCTTTGACACTCTTAGATTGACACGTTAGCTGCCAAAAGATTGTATGTGCAGCGATGCGACATTTATTTCTAAACTAAAAAAAGACATAATTATGTAATGAATGGTAGCTCAAGAGTTATTGTCTCTTTGGCTGAAATGCCAAAGTGTCCTTGGGAAAGACTCTAAACTTCCACCCTGCCATCATCATGACATTCAATTGTTTAAAATATAAAATACCATAACAAATTAAAAGGCACATCCATATTCTTTATACCCATGTAGCAATTTTGCATGCAGTTTTTACAAAGAATAATGTAGAGTGGGAAGTTTTTTAAAAAATGAGACAGTCTAGAAAGCCGAATCATGGTAATTATGAACAAGCAATGTGCCCACAGCAGAGAGCTAAAACTGAAAGTGGCAAACAATAGCTGACAAAAACAAAAGCCGACTTGAGAAGAGAGCTGTAATAAGACAAAAGGAGAGGGCAAAGAAAGTGAGCGAGAGAGTGAGAAACCTCCAGATGTCACTTTTAACCACTACCGGGTATTATGTTTTAATCTGTGTGTAAAATACTGAGTGGAATRTTGGCTTCTGACCAAGAAAAAAAAGTTGAAGAGGTATTATCTTTAAAGGAAACAATATGTATATTGTGTTGAAAATGCATATTAAGGGGAACAATTTCAATTGTTATCCTCTGATTAGTTGTGCTTCATGAGCAGGTTACAATTCTTGGAAGCAACACATAAGGCTATTATAACACAGTTTACGCAGCAAAAACTTAAATTRTGCCTTTGCATTAAAGCAGCGCAGAGATCGCAATGAAACTTATGCAAATAACCTACGCTTATGTAAACAATAGACTTGTGCCTGGGTTTATATACTTTCACATTTGCTGCCTGTGCTTTAATTTTAACCGATTCACAAAAATTGAGTCACTTCATAAAGAACAAGCCATAAAGTATCCCACTTAAAGGGTGATAGTAAATGTTGGGGAATTGTGAGTACATTGATGTTTTTAGAAGACATGCTGACTTGTAAAGATGAAAAATCTACATCATAGTTTCTGCCATCATTGTGAGACATCTGTGTTTTACCGCTTTAATCAGGATCCAAACTAATGTGTTAAAACATTGATTGGGTCAATGGTAGACAATCAAATACTGCGCCCTTTGAGGTAAAATTAATGTTTTTGTTAAGAGAGTCTGGYGGATTTAAAGAGCATCTTACAAGGGCTGCAATCCCCTGACAGAAAGTCCTGTCCAATACCAATATAAAAAAGTGAAAGCATTATTGATAATAAACATTGATTTTTCTTATCTGGTTTTTCTTGCTGTTCCTGTAGTACTTCTGCGCTAAGAGTCTGTGGCAATACCCCTGAATGTTTCACGGCAGTAAAGGTTCCAAAGCAGCACTAAACAGATGGTTATTAACTATTAATAATACTGTCTCTCAAGCCCACTTCAATTTATCTTCAGAGAAATCAATCCCCCTGTTTTATTAGCATCAATAGTGGTATTATTCCTGGTTTGTCTGGTTTAAAACCTTGTAGCTGAATGCAACCCACATATTACACGAGCTGTGGCTTGAACATTAGATACGTTAGATATTTCTTTTATCGTTATTTTTACGTTTTGATTGATGAGACTTTAAACATTCTCTTAATCTAAGTGAATTCAAGCCCTCCAAAAATTAAAAATGAAGAAGTTAAACGTATATGGAATAAAGAATAAAGATTATATTAAAGAAATTTGGAGAAGTATTAATATCTTGACATGAAGAACCAAAAAAAAATCCACAACAGATATCATGCTTAGTGTTGATGGAAGGATAGCAGAAGATAAGGACAGCATTGCTTCTACTTCTATTCAGTCAGTTCAGGAGCTGGGGCCAGGGWTTTAAAGGTAAAGATCAGGGAAAATTGATAACTAAAAAAAGGGCTTCAGTTTGAATACATTTACTGAACAGGAAGTCAAGAAAATAATTCAGTCTCTGAGGAATTCAAAAAGATGTTTTTTTTTTGTTTTTCATTCAGCTGTGTCTTTGTGCTCCACCAGAACATCCAGGCAGAACTGTGAAATTCCTGCRTGACACTCAGCCTTCAGAAATGCAGCTTTTTCATGATAATGTAAAAACTTGCATTTTTTTGTTTTAAAAATGATCTTACAAAATATCTTAAAACTAGCTACTCGGTGTTGCAATCACTAAACAGCAGTAGGTAATCAATTATAAAATTTACGTCTAATGATATGTGTTGGAAGGTGGGGCGGTTGGGGTGGAGGTGGGCGTGATTACAATTGTTAAATGTATTTATTTATTTTGGATGTTTTCTTATCCATTTGTTTATTGTCTGGTGGAAATACATATGTAAATTAATCTTAGGCTAAATTGGATGAAATGCATCAAATGTTTTTCCAAGTAGAAAAATACAAATCTGCAGTTCTTTTATTGGTTTTCAWAATGAYMATGGGGAATATCTCAAATCTACTTAACACTGCAATCACAAWTTTTTACTTGATRTTCAGTGAYATAACTGACTTTTTAATTATGTGTTTTTAAGAGAAGAGAGGTGTTTTTTTATTAATTGCAAAACTGTTGTTTTCTGATTGTTTTCTTTTCTTGTTTTTAATACTGTTGGATGTTTTGTTGTTGATATTTATTTTTATTGTCTGGAGGGACTACAGATGTAAATTAGCCTTATGCTAAATCTGGTGCAATGAATCTTTATTTTATTTTATTTTTATTTTTGTGTTTTAATTGCACACTGTCCTGATTACAAACAATAAMTAAGTTAAAAAATATAAAAATAAATAAAATGATCACAAACCTAAGCCCATTCCTGCTATTAGCAACCCCTGTTGCTGCTTTATTTGGATGTCAATTCTTGCAACTCCACTCAAAGCAAATCTAAATGAGATAGTGATAATAACACTAACAATTCTCTATCATGTTTTTCTAATAAATATGATTGAATGTCTTATAGCTTAATTATGAGATGAGCTATTCTGTAATCCTTCCTGTTAATTGTGATTTAGCATTTCAAAACTATGATTTAATATACCTATTTAATATGTTTTAACATTTCATTACTGCGATTAGATATCTCATATTATGAGATGTCATTCCCCCCAGATGTTAARTTATAATTACGAAATGCTAAGTCATAATCTGGAGATAAGGCCTCATATAAGTATGAATATATCAAAATTATTATTATCAAAGTTATAATTTAGAGGGTCCATCTCAGAGATGATGAGTCATCATTCACAGATTATTTCTCAAAGTGGCGGAAATAGGCTTCCGCGGTTTTACGACCCTCGTTAGGTTTTTGAGCCTAACTTTGATAATCACTGGACCAATTTGCAGTAAACGTGTAAAAAGCAGACATCATGTTTTATTTTGTAACCCCGGACAGGAAGTAGTGTCTCGTGTGGTTGCCGCAGGTTTGACAGCAGATGTCCGGGAGCTGTGAGCACACACGTCGCTCTCTCCACTCCATCGCTCCACTGCGGAAGGACCGCGAAGGCAGCAGCAGAGGAGCAGACAGACAGCAGGTTCACTTCACTTCTTCCTGCTCGAGCCAGTCCCGTAGAGGCCACTTTATCACTTAGGACCTACTTTTCTCTGAGAGGACATAAAAAAAAAAGCCAATCTCGCAGGTTGGTGAGAACGAAGGAAGACGAACTTTTGGCCGTGTGATTTATTTTGTTTATTTTTAATATCGGTTTTAAACCACATCCCTGTAACCTTGGAAGACGCACCTGATTGTTGCGCGAGGATGGGACCACTACTCCCTTTCATCGTGTTGTGTTTGAGCGCTGCTGTCCCACATCATGCGAAAGGTAAGTGCAAAAGTAGGCTGTTTTCTGAAAAAAATACCTACTGATCGAGATATTTCTATAATAACGCATTCAAAGTGATGATGCTATATTCTGATGAACACAAATAGCTGCACAACATACAGTGTGTTGGGAATCTGCCTGTAAGCACTCGGTTCTTGATCATGACTCGTTAATTAATGATCCGACTTGACTCTTTAGAGCCTGTTAGACGGACATGATAATGTCTTTGTTCAGGATTTTTTTAAAGCTGCACATCTAGGCGCGCGCAGTTGAGATTAAATGTTTGGCACTGCTCGGGTATTTCCGCGCGCTCTCAAAGTGATCATCATTATCATCGTCAGACGCGCCTCTCGCTCCTCTCTTGTGATGGTTCCACTGGATAAAATATGCTACGCGTTCTGGTCCGGCTCCCTTAAGCAAGCACCGCCATCCCTTCTTCGAGATCCTTTTATTTTAAAACTAAATGAAAGATGGAAATTATTGTTTTCATGACAAAACAGTTTTACATCTACAGCATATGGGCAGATTCTATCACTTACAGGAAGAYGTGTTATTGACTAGGGCATCACGAAAAAGGTCAGATGAGGCWGACTATTACCTGAGATTCTGTTTTCTTGAGAGGAAATTGCTAAAAGCATATAGATTGGCCTGAATCAGCATTTAAATCACCCCACGTCCCTCCCCTCTTTTGCCCTTCCTGCTCTGGTGATAAGAATGTTTAAGCCTTTCCCTGGTTTATAGTGTCCATGATCAGCACAGAACAGTACCTGTGGGATTTGCTTGTGAAGAAAGCTGTGCACAGTATATTCCTAATAGAAGTGGGTCATGGCATCCTCCTCGTCTCTGTTCATTTAACGACATGCTTGCCTCAGGAGTCACACATGTCAGACAGACCTCAGTCTCTAAACAAGGAGTCTGCCTCGAGCGGAGTTTCGAAGGGCTCCCTAAGCCACAGTGTCAACTCAGAGTCAACCATTACAAGACATAATACTCCCTGGTAGGCTGGCATAATGAATCCAGAGGAAAAGCTGAGAGCTGTGGTTCTTTGGGGTTGACTTGTTTCAAGGCTCAGCGAGTTAAACATACACCCTCTTGGTCCCTCAATTAATCATATCCCAGTTAAATTTGTGGTATTGTAAAATGAATTTTTGTCATTTGAAGCAGCTGGAWCATCTTTCCCAGTAAGTAGTTGACTTTAGGAAAAGGGTAGATGTAGGGTTTACACACGTCTACCATGAGTGATSAGCCCAAAGCTGTCTAGGGCAGCAGGCAGACTGAATCCCAAGGCAGTCAAACTTTGYCACGATAAATACATCTTTTGTCAATCCACTGTCCTTTTTTCTAAGGATGCACTCTGCTTACCTTTAGACCTTACTCAGCAATACTGTAGGTGTCTTAGAGATAGCAATAAATAAATACTACTGGTGATGTCACAGAGTGCCACTGAAATAAACTGATCTGGTAAAAACATTTGCCTTCGGGTAAAAACAGACTTCATTGTTCCAATTCAGTCTGCAATACATCACATCCTCTGCTGGGTTGCTGGTGCTGACTCTCATGTGTTGTTTGGTATTCTGCCTGTCATGCCCGGTCAAAGYACATAACGGCACCCAGTGTTGGGAAATGGGAGATGCTCTTGGTGCCGAAACAGAGAGAACAACTTTTCAAGAATGTCACACAGTTTGATTCAGTTTGAGTTCTTTGTACAAATACTAGGCAACTTTTATTCAAATAGGCATCTCTCTTAAGTAGCAGTATAATTGTTGGCTGTTATTGGAAAAGCAGAGTGTTATTTGTCGACATCATTGGCATCTGCATTATAATAAATGTGAATAAAAATGTGAGACATTTGAAATTCCTAATATGTACTTTATGCCATCCATTAATTTTCTTTTCAGCTTCTCTGTGCAGGGTTGTGGGTAGCTGGTGCCTACCTCCAGCTGTCATTGGATGAGAGGCAGTTTACACTCTAGACTGGTTGCCCGACAAACAAAAGTCACCCTCTCAATCTCCTTTTGTRAGAATTTAGTGTTACCATTTAATTTGACGTGTGGTTTTAGACTGTGGAAGGAGCTGGACAATCCAAAGAAAATGCATACATGAGAACATGAAACTCCAAAAGACAGGTTTCATTAAGTTTTGAACCTGACACCTTCTTTCTGTTTAGCTCTTAACATTGGCCTGCCATGCAGCTCAGTACTTTATTTAAAAAAAACAWATTACTAGATTGATGCTATTGCCTAACTATCCTTTATTAACCTTGAATGAAACTGCTTAAAATAAATATGTTGTACCCTTCCTTTTGTCTGTAGAACCCTAGATAGGAATAATGGAAAATGCATTGAAAGTAATTTGTCTAAAAGTGCGTTATGTTTACCATCCACTGAAAGACATAAGTGATGTAAACTGCCTCTGCTGTGCCCTTTTCTTGGTTTTAAATAGCACAAACTTCAATCAGTGGTAAAAGGTCAGACCTTTACAAATTTCTAGCCGTTATAACCAAAGAAATCAAAGTGACTCAATGGATGATTCTCTGTGCACAGTCAGTGATGTAGTGACATTGGCTGCTTGGTTATATTTGTGAAACTTAATTGGGCTATTCATTGTCGGTGCACATGCTCCTTAATCCCCTAATATTTGACGGAGAGGTCATTTGTCTCTTATGCTGACAGGTTAATGGATAAAGTGGTATTTGTCTTGTGCTGTAGTGAGACCTTCGTTGTTCTGCCTACATTTCATGCTTGGCTTAATGGGAGGGCACAGGAGGGACGGTTATAGAGGTTGCAAGGACACACACAGAGGAAGGACTTACTGAAGAACTTTAATAAAGCTATGAAGTGAAGCTGGTGGTACAAGGTGATTTATATGAGCTAGCACAGTTTCATGTCAGTTTTTCTGCKCAAACGATGGAGGCGTGCTCTTTTTGTTTAACTCTGACTCTTTCATTCTATGTCCTTTTTTGTAACTAAAACACTGGACTTAATGATGCTCTAGACCCCATTTCTTGAACATCAAGGTGACTTGTGGCTTATCAGCTCCACTTTTATACATCAAAGAGTGAAAAGTAGACGTGTGTCAGCTGCCGACAAAGAGAAACACAAAGACTTATCAGTTGTAAAAATAGCCTCTTTTCACACACAGCTGTTTTTCCCCACCCTAAATCCTTCAAATCATTGTCCGCTTCAATTCCAATAACACTTGGAGCATACTTTCTGAATCRTCTCAGACGTTTAAAAAGTCTGCCATTTACTGAAAGCAGCACACAATATTACAATAGAAAGCTTAAGCAAAGATTTCCTTAGCTTTCTGTTGGAGCTGATGTCTAAACTCTAAACCATGGCTCTGCCAGAAAAAAAGATGTCTCTGAAAATAATTTAAAAAAMCAGATTATAAGAGTGTTTCATTTGTAGTGTCAGTTCATGTTGAGTTTGCATTAGTTATTTTCCAGCTAAGAACATGGGGCAGCATATCATCTCATAGTTTAAGCTTTCATAAGACCACACACTGGTTTTAAGTAATCCCACTGGGTCAGAAGAAATGGCTCAACTCTGAACAGGCTTTGTGTGTGTGTGTGTGTGTGTGTGTGTGTGTGTGTGTGTGT